ATCAAACAGGAACACACAAAGAGGTACCCAAATATATATATATATAGGCTGTTAGTCTCCAGTGCACACAGAGATCCAAGTGTATCAAACACTCAGAGACCTACTGCTCACAGTCACATACACATACAGATGTATACTTACACACTCAAGCAGGGACACACACCCTCCCCTCCCCCCACTAGTCACTGGGGTCTCTTGAGGGGAACCTGCACCATATTCCTCATCTTCCTCTCCCCCCAGGGGTATGATGGATCCTGTCTGGGCCAGGAGAGACCATAACCGGGTAAGGGGGCCTTTGGTGGCAGTGCAGGGGAGGGGCAGAGGTCAGGAGCAGCAACCCTGCCAGGCAGGTTCCGGAAGCTCAATGGGGTCCCAGCGCATACCCAGTGCAGCCCCAACTCAACGCCACCTCAGTACTCACCGCTGCTCGCCCAGAGCTGAGACCGAGGAGAGACAGAGGAGAGGCTGGGCCCAGCTCAGCTGTGAAGGAAGCGCGGCTCCCGCTTGCTCCAGGCCCGCCCGCCTCTCAGTCCCTCCCCCTACCCCCTACGCACTGCACAGGCAACGCTAATCCCCCCCCAGCCCCCGCCCTCTCCCAGGGCCCGGAGCCCCGGAGGCTGCCAGCCCCCCTTGTCGCTAGGTCCCTGCTGGGCTCTCCCGCCAACCTAAGACCCGCCCCAGACCAGGAGGAGGACGCATGAAACCCTTGGTTCTATTCCCCAGACCCTCACGTGCCCCACCCCACTGTGTCCACGTCTCTCTCGCCCACCGCCCCTTGAGCCACACGTAAGGCCCGGCTGCACACGCGTGTCCCACCCCAGACCCCACGCGTGTCCCTAGGAGGCTGCCACATGACCTGTTACATGCCACACGCGCTCCCGCCCCCACGAGCACGCGGCCGCGCCAAGCACACGGTATGGGTGTAGACTGGACCCGCCCCCTAAATCCAGGAGACCATCACCTATGGAAAGGAGATCTAGGGAGCACCGTCTTGAACCCGCCAGGGGTTTTGAGTCTCGGACCCAGGAGACCCAACCCTAACCACCCTCCCAGGATGCCGCAGGGGAATGTTAAATCAGACTTCAGGAAGAACTTCCTTGCTGCCTGAGTTAGGTGTCGTCACGCCTGCCTAGGTGTAAGAGTTTAGACGGGATGACCTCAGGACTGGAATACGTGAGGGACAGGCAACCCTTGTGCCCTTGGCCAGGGTAGAAGGGGGCCCTGCTATTTTAAGAAAGCGCCGCTCGAGTTACTATGGCAACTACTTTCCCTGGGAGGGCCAGGGCGGGCAGATGGTGACCTCGGAAGGAAGAAGGGGTCTGTTAGGGCAGTCAGGGGGCGCGAGGACGTGAGAGGCGGGGGCGCGCGGGGCTCACCGCGGGGAGGGGCGGCGCGGACTCCGCGTGGTGCTGAAGGGGACAGCGCCAGATTTGTCGAACTGCGCAGGCGCAGAGGTGCGAACAAAGAGGGGAGGGGGACGAGGCGCGCGGCCGGAGGTGATGCGTGCTCTCACGTGGCTCTTTCTTTGCAGGGGTCTGTCCTCCCAGCTATCCCCTCTCCAAGCAGGCTGAGGAAGAGGTAGCAAGCCCTCACCTAACTTGACCCCCTTCTGGTCCTTCCCCGCTGCTAGCTTCTCCCTTCTCGCTGCCTTGCGGGGTGGGGGAACGTGGAATTCTGGGAAAACCAGATGTCTGGATTCTCTATTCCCGTCTGGCTGGATTCTGGACAAGGCGTTTCCTCTCCAGGGCCTCTGTTTCCCTATCTTTAAAATGGAGTGATAACATAGACCTGTCCACCTTTCAGAGGTGCCCGAAGCCCTGACGAAATGACAGCTGAGAAGCAGTTTTCGTTGTGATGAACCACTGAATCGGTTGCAGCGAAGGAGCGCCAGACCGTCAGCGGTGCAGTGGCCCTCGCATCCTTCACATTCCCCCACACCCATCCCGTGGATGATGGGGGAAGGCACTACTCCTGGGGTTCCCGTAGCGGATCCTGGGACTGAGACGTGGGGACGCGGTGAGAGGCAGCCCAGAAGCTGAGTCCAGAGGTCTGGGGCGTGACTGCCCCAGGGCGGACCTAGCCCCAGACCCTACAACTAAACCGAAGGCCAGCCAAGAAACACAACCCCTGGCGGGCTGAGCTGAGCTCTCATTCTTCTCAGGACTCTGGACCTTTGGAGAAAATGAAAGGGACCCAACTGGAAATAATATTCCTTCTTCGCGCCCCCTACGTCTCTCTCCCGCGGCGGAAACGCAGCCCAAACTGTTCCGAAGTGGAAGAGGCTGGATAGCTCTTCACAATTAACCAGGAATGAGAAGTTTGAGCAGGTTTACTTGATGAAAGAAAAATTATAGCCTTGTCCATTCATTCATTATTTCAACAATTACTTATTGAACACCTGCTACGTGGCAGACAGTAAGAGCCTGGATAGTTTCTCCCCGTTTTTCAAAGTCGCTAAACGCGACTAGAGGGCAGAGGCGAGGTCTGTAACCTAGGAGTCCTGGCTCCGCCCCCTCCGCCTTTGGCCTTGCCTGCTCCTCCTCCCGTCACCACTTCGCTCAGAGGCGGCTACTGGCCCAAGAGGACGACAGAAGCCAGTCAGTCTCTGATGCCCACCGCATTCTGCAGCTTCGGGCCTGAAACCCTGTAGCCGAGAAGGCGAGGTCTAATGTTACACCACCGGTCTGTTCCGCCTCCGTTTCGAGGTCCATCCGAAAAGCTTTCAGATCGGATCCTCGGTAAGACGGCACTCGATTGAATCGGTCTGTCTCTACAGGCCAAGGAGGCGGGTTTGGCGCGGCCACTCCAAGGCCAAACCGAGGAAAGCTTACTGCGCACGCGCAATAGACAGCCGAAGGAGCCACCGATGGAGCCGTCCGGAGGGGAGCAAGAGCCCGGAGCCGTCAGGTACCGAGCACCGGAGGGGCCGAAAGAGGGAAGAGGAACCTGAGAGAGGGGAGCCGAGCCGGGGCTGGGGCTGGGGGCCGCTCTTGGGAGCTTGGGTGTAGGGGCATAACGGAGGCGGACTCGCAGGTAATAGTGGCCCCGGGACGCCAGTGCCAACGCCCCTTTACTCTCAGGCTCCTGGACCTGCCCTGGGAAGACGTGCTGCTCCCTCACGTCCTGAACCGGGTACCGCTGCGCCAGCTGCTCCGGCTGCAGCGCGTTAGCCGGGCCTTCCGGGCACTGGTACAGCTTCACCTGGCCGGGCTGCGTCGCTTCGACGCCGCGCAGGTGAGCCGGGGGCTGAAGCTCCGCCCCTGCCTGGGTTCCGCCCCGCCTCTAGGCCAGCCCCCTGCCCCACTGTATGCCCTTCCTGACCCTCTTAGGCCACCGGAGCTGCCCGGGAAGGGATCCACGCAGCAGGGAGTACTCCCAAAGGGCGAATACTGGTAGCGACTCAGGGAATGTGGGGGTCTCTCCTGGGAGAACAGGCAGCTGCCAGGAAAGAACTCAGGGGCGCATAGGCGGCTGAGGAGTGCGGGACGGGCTGAGAGTTGGGGTGCCTCCCCGCCCGCAGGTGGGTCCACAGATCCCACGGGCCGCATTGGCCCGACTGCTGCGGGACGCCGAGGGGCTGCAGGAGCTGGCGCTGGCGCCGTGTCACGAATGGCTGTCAGACGAGGATCTGGTGCCGGTGCTGGCGCGGAACCCGCAGCTGCGGAGTGTGGCGCTGGCCGGCTGCGGGCAACTGAGTCGCCGGGCGCTTGGGGCGCTGGCCGAGGGCTGCCCACGCCTGCAGCGCCTGTCGCTCGCGCACTGTGACTGGGTGGACGGGCTGGCGCTGCGCGGCCTCGCCGACCGCTGCCCGGCCCTGGAGGAGCTGGACCTCACCGCCTGCCGCCAGCTCAAGGACGAGGCCATCGTGTACCTAGCGCAGAGGCGCGGCGCTGGCCTCCGCAGCCTCTCGCTGGCCGTCAACGCCAACGTGGGGGACGCCGCGGTTCAGGAGTTGGCTCGGAACTGCCCAGAACTCCAGCACCTTGACCTCACCGGCTGCCTCCGCGTCGGAAGCGACGGTGTCAGGTGCCTGGGCCTGGTGGGGCGGTAGGGTGGGAGGAAGGCAGTCACTTAGCCTCTGAAGGTATGGGGTGGGCTGTAGTTGTTAAAAGGACGGACTGAGGGTTCTGAATCTTCCTGCAAACCACGGAACCCCCATTCTGAACAGAAAACACCTCTAGGATTGCCTTCCGGACCCCATTAGGCCAGAGAGCCCATAGTTTTAAAACTTTTTTGAACCAGTATTTACACATTGGGAGATTTCACATAGAAAGTCGACTTCTGACTTTTCTTCAACGAGGGGGAAACCTTGCAATCCTAGGCGGAGCTGAGGGGCAGGTTCCTCCCTTAAATGAGACAGGAAGTCTCCGCCTCCCTTGAAGCCAATCCAGGAGCCTCCCTTGTGCAGGGACGGAAAAAGTATGCCCCTGCCCCGAGCTGGACGGAGACCGGGATTTTGCTGGAGCTAGTCCGAGGCTGAGTGAGCCCGGGCCCCTATCATACCCCACTAAGGATGTGGTGGCCTCTTGCCGCTAGCCTCACCCCGCTCCTCCCTCAGGACTTTGGCCGAGTATTGCCCGGCGCTGCGCTCGCTGCGAGTGCGGCACTGCCACCATGTGGCCGAGTCCAGCCTGAGCCGCTTGCGGAAACGCGGCGTCGACATCGACGTGGAGCCGCCGCTGCACCAGGCCCTGGTGCTGCTGCAGGATATGGCGGGCTTCGCACCTTTTGTCAACCTGCAGGTCTGACCCTGCCAATCGGAGCACAGCTGGACTGTGTGGCTGGGGCCTGACACTGAGCGGTAGGGAAACTGAACTGTGGGGACCTCTGGTGAGAGGCCAGTGCCCTGCCCCACCCTGGAGCTTCCAATAAAGAGCTTTTTACCCCCTTTTGCCTGGTGCTGCCCTGTTGAAGATAGAGGATTCAAGGTTTGGGAGGGAAGGTCAGACAGGCCTAGTGTCCCAGTCCTGAGGCAGAAATGACCAGAATGCACTCACAGCTTCCTTGGGCCACCTTTACTGAGCCCATGGAGGCAGCTCTGAGAATAGGTTAACACTATGGAGCAAAGAAGTAGAGAATGGGGACAGGAGTTAGGGGGCCCCTGTGTAGGGCTGTAGGGCTCCTGCATCCCTCTGGGATCTGAGCCTAGAAGGCTCGGGCAGAGTCCGGCGAGTGCCTCAATGGAAGCGGTACTTTCTGGCCGGCTTGAGGTTGATGTATGTAGCCTTCATCTCCTCGGCCTCAGGGTTCCGCACATCTTTGAATCGCTCCCCTTTGGTGCTGACTATCTGGTTGTCGATGTATCGGATCAGCTTCTTGGGGGCCTGTCAGGCAATCCGGCAGTGAGCGGCAGAAGCCAGGAGCCAGTCCTACCCATTCCACATCCCCAGCAACCCCAACTCTCACCTCCTTGGGAGCCATGGGCCGGTGAATCTTCTGATCCTCTGCACTATCCACCATCATGTACCTGCCAAAAACTGGCTGGCTGAAGCTCCTGTCACCGTGGGAAGACCCTCTAGGGCACAGCCCAGCCTAGCCCAGCCCAGACTCACTTCTGCAGGATGAAGGACTTCAGCTCATCCTTTTGGGGACCTCTGAGGCGTCTAGGCAGGTCCTGCAGAGAGGGGAGGCCTGGTCTAGGCCCAAGGGCACCAGCAGGGGAAACAGACGGGGGATAGGTAGGGGTCGGGGCTTAACACGGAGGTGGAGTGTAGCCGAGGCTACATGGTGGGGGGTGCTGGGAGAAGATACCTGGTTGGAGCCATCCCAGGCTGCAGGCCCCTCTTCCTTCCCCTCTACCAGCATCTGCACAGCTTCTTCCAAGTCCCCCCGAGCTTTGGCCAGCACCCACTGGGCCTGTTCCACCGAACAGGTAGGGAACACCTCCAGGAGTACATCCACCCCTGGCAGAAGCTCCTCCTCAGCACCAGTTGCCTAAGGGTACAAACATTAACAAAAGGCAATACTCCCCCTTGCCAGCCCCCTGGGTCCCTCATTGCTAACCTCCTCTACCAGTACCTCATCTTGGGTGTCCCCAGCAGCAGCAGCAGCAGCAGCAGAAGACCTGGTCTCTTCTTTGAGCATTTCCGGCCGCTGCAGAGGCTCTGGGGAGATGGGCACCTGACCTTGGACACCAGAGCTCTGCGGTTGCAGGTTCTCTTAAAGAGGCAGAGAGAGCATCAGGTTTGTCAGTGCTCTGGGGAGTAGGGAATTGGGAGGGGTTATGAATCACCCAGGTGCCTACAGCCCCAGACTCACCTTTGTTCCTGGCATCACTCAGCTGCCCTGAGAGCTTCTGCATCATGTCCCCTATTGTGCCCCTGAAAACATAAGGGTGGTGAGAGAAGACAACTCTGCCCACCCCATAATCAACCAGCCCCTTCCTCCTCCTGGCCCCAGGCAGAACCTACCTGGGGATGTGGGCAAAGCCAGGCACATAGGCCTCCATCATCTCAGTGAAGGCCTCCATATCGAAGTTCTCCTCTGATGGGCCTGAGGGCCCCAGGTCCTCCAGGACCCCGAGCACATAGGAGAAGATGACTTCATCCAAACCACTGCAGGAAGGGGCCAGGACAAGCCCTGGGTAGGACACTGGATACCTCCAGCATCCCCACCTGTCCTGAAACTTCAGCCTTCAGCTTCATGGGGTTCATGAGCTAGACCTTAATCCTTGAGGCCAAAAAGTGTAACCCCCTCCCCCAGACCTATGGTTTCCCATCTGCCCAACAAAGGTAACAGGGACAGGATGAGCGGGAAGGCCTCTCAGGAAATCGTCATCAGCCCTCCCGCCATCTTTCCATCAGCCAGGACTCATAGTACTACCCGGCAGCTCCAGCTCTGGCACTGACGTGAACCTTCCGGGGAAGCTGTCTCTACCTGAGGTCGGCCTCCGGGAGGTGCGTCTGGACAAAGGCAAGGAGGGCTGCACTGACGATCCTCTCCAGCTCCATGCTCTCCCTTCTTCTGAAGGGACACAGACAGACAGGATGGCCAGGCCCTCTTTTGTCTGTACTCACCCACTGGACCTGGGGGCAGCAGCTCCTCCCTCCTGGCCTGCTGTGGAACCATCTGTTGAGGCTGCCCTCTCTGTTCTCCCAAGCAGAACCATGCCCCCTCCCCGGCCCATCTCTTACCTCCTCCAGCCTGACAGGATAGGGTACTGTCTCTGGAGACAGCCTCTTAGAGGAGTGCGCCCCACTTCTCCCCATCCCCCTACCCCATTCCCTAGCAGCAGCCCCAGACCTTCTGGCAAGGTCTTGAGGTCACATGCCTCCTGGCTCAGGAATCCCATAATTGAGGGGGCCCCTTAGCCTCCAACCACAAGGAGCCCCATTGTCCAGCCCCTCAAGGAGCGGCCTCGTGACCAAGCACAGCCCTTCCCCCACCCAGAACAGCCCACCCACCCTCTGCACAAAGGGGCTTTTCTGGCTCTGGGGCCCAGATAGAAGGGGAAGCCTTTTATGGATTCTTTTCTCTCCCGTAGTCTCTGCCCTTCCTGCAGCCTGGGGCTATCTGTAGAACACTTTCCATCCTCCTCCCCATGGCCTGCCGAGCCCACAGATCCGGCCCTTTCCCAGCTCTCCAGCCTCCCCAGTCCTTCCTGGCTGGCTCGCTCCTGCACCACCTTGCTGTCCCTCAGACTTGCTGAGCTTCCTCCTGTCTCTACCCACATGCTCCTGACTCCCAAACAGACTTTTGGAAGTCAAAATGATGTAGATGGGGATGGAACATGTCAACAAGCATGTACTGTGCACCTACCCAGGGCAGGCATTTTGTGTCCTGCAGACATCCAAGGCTTGTCCAGACACTCCTCAGGGCTCCACTCAAATGTTACCTCATCAGAGAGCCCTTCCCTGACTAACCTACAGCAAAGAAGTCTTCTCTATGCCCCTAACCCTACATAGCACTTACTACCGTTAGCATTATTTTTGTTCATGCCCTAGCACCTAGAAAAATGCCCACACTAGGTAGGTGCTCAATACATACTTGTTGACATGTTCCATCCCCATGTACATACTTCTGACTCCCAAAGGTCTGTTTGGGAGCATAGCCTTGATTTTGCCGTCTTTCACCCCTATCTGCTGCACCCAGTCTACCACCAAGTCCGTCAGTTCTACTCCCTTCTTATCCGAATTCTATCCACTTCTCTCTATCTCAAGTCTGGCTTCTGCTCCAATATCTCCACCAAAATTTCTTTCTTTTTTTTTTTGTTTTTAAAGATGAGGTTTCACTGTGTTGGTCAGGCTGGTCTTGAACTCCTGACCTCAGGTGATCCACCCGCCTCGGCCTCCAAAGTGCTTGGATTACAGGTGTGAGCCACTGCACCTGGCCGACAATTTTTTTTTTTTTTTTTTTTTTTTTTTTGAGACAGGGTCTGGCTCTGCCACCCAGGCTGGAATGCAGTGGCATGATATGAGCTCACTGCAACCTCCATCTCCCCAGCTCAAGCCATCCTTCTACCTTAGCTTCTGGAGTAGCTGGGACTACAGACCCGCACCACCATGCCCTGCTAGTTTTTTGTTTGTTTGTTTGTTTGTTTGTTTTTTGTATTTTTAGTAAAGACGTGGTTTTGTCATGTTTTGAGCTCTGGGTTCAAGACCCAGGCTGGTCTCAAACTTCTGGGCTCAAAGCGATCTACCCACGTTGGCCTCCCAAAGTGCTAGGATTACAGGCATGAGTCACTGTGCCCAGCCCCAAAATTTCCAGGTTTTGGTCTAATCAAATTGAACCATATGAGCTTGCCAATTTTGTCTTTTTTTTTTTTTTTTTTTTTTTTTTTTTTGAGACAGAGTTTTGTTCTTGTGACCCAGGCTGGAGTACAATGGTGATCTCGGCTCACCGCAACCTCTGCCTCCTGGGTTCAGGCAATTCTCCTGCCTCAGCCTCCTGAGTAGCTGGGATTACAGGCACGTGCCACCATGCCCAGCTAATTTTTTGTATTTTTAGTAGAGATGGGGTTTCACCATGTTGACCAGGATGGTCTCGATCTCTTGACCTCGTGATCCACCCGCCTCAGCCTCCCAAAGTGCTGGGATTACAGGCTTGAGCCACCGCACCTGGCTTGTCTTTTTTTTTTTTTTTTTTTTTTGAGACGGAGTCTCACTGTGTTGCCCATGCTGAAGTGCAGTGGCGCAATCTCAGCTCACTGCAACCTCTGCCGCCCGGGTATAAGCAATTCTCTGCCTCAGCCTCTGAAGTAGCTGGGACTACAAGTGCCTGCTGCCACACCCGGCTAGTTTTTGTATTTTTAGTAGAGACGGGCTTTCACCATTTGGCCAGGCTAGTCTTGAACTCCTAACCTTGTGATCCATCCACCTCAGCCTCCCAAAGTGCTGGAATTACAGGTGTGAGCCACCACACCCAGCCCTTTTGTCTAGTTTTGATCTACAAAAAAAGAGGGGGCAATTTCTCATGATTTCACCTTTATTTGCCCTTTCAGCAGCACCAACTTTGGTTTCTGAGACATCATTCTCTCCTAGTATCCTTCTACCTCTCTGGCCATTTCTTCGAAGCCTCTTTCTCTGTCCCCTTCTCTGTCGCCCTGTAAATGTGGGAGTTCCTCATGTGCAAGGCTTCTGCTCCTCCTCACTGCAGCACTTGTTTTCTCTGGAAGATCTCATCTGGGCCCACATCTTTATGTATCAACACCATGTCATCAATTCCCAAATGTCCAGTCCTCTAGTCCAGTCTCCTCTGAGCTATAAACTTGGACATCTATCTCCCTAACACTACCATGTGGATGTTTTACAGGCATCTCATGCTTAGCATGTCCCAAACTGACATTCTGTCAAGGTGTTTTACTCCTCCACGGTCATCCTCAGTAAATCCATGTCCAGGCAACTGGCTGTTCCTGCCACAAATCTGTGAATTATCCTTGACACCATCCTACCCCTTGCTTTCCTTCATCCAGTCAGTTGCCAAGCCCTAATCATGATCTCTTGCCACATCTACTCTCCATCTCTGCTCTCACCCTTCTTCATCTCTTTGCTGCAAGATCTTCTTAACCCTTCTCCGCACTCCATCTTTCCCCCAACAACCTATTCTCCACACCAGAGTCAAGTGATCGTTACAATAGTCACATCTTCTTCTGCTTAAAATCTATCAGTGGCTCACGCCTGTAATCCTAGCACTTTGGGAAGCTGAGGCACACGGATCACCTGCGGCCTGGAGTTCAAGACAAGCCTGGCCAATATGGAGAAAGCCTGTCTCTACTAAGAATACAAAAAGTAGCCAGGCATGGTGGCGCATGCCTGTAATCCCGGCTGAGGCAGGAGAATCACTTAAACCTGGGAGGCAGAGGTTGCAGTGAACTGAGATCACGCCATATACACTCTAGCCTGGGCAACAAGAGCGAAATTCCATCTCAAAAAAAAAAACAACTATCAGTGCCTTCCCACCACCCTTCAGGGAAGTCCAGAATCTTTTCATGGCTTTCCACTGCAGGCCTTACCCTATCTATATCTCTCTCCAGCTTCACCATGCACTACACCTTGCTGGATCATTTCCCTCCCTCTACCTTGGCTTCCTTTTTTTTTTTTTTTTTGAGACAGACTCTCACCCTGTCACCCAGGCTGGAGTGCAGTGGAGCAGTCTCAGCTCATGCAATCTCTGCCTCCTGGGTTCAACTGATTCTCTTGCCTCAGCCTCCTGAGTAGCTGGGATTACAGGCATGTGCCACCATGCCTGGCTAATTTTCATATTTCTAGTAAAGACCATGTTGGCCAGGCGGGTCTCCTGACCTCAGAAGATCCACCCCACCTAGGGCTCCTAAAGTGTTGGGATTATAGGCGTGACACCATGCCCTGCCCCACCCTGGCTTTCTTGCAGTTTGCCAATACTCAAGCTCTTTCATGGCAAGGTAGTGTGCCCTGTGAGCCTTCTACTCTATCATCTGAGTGAAACAATGAGCTGGCATTTGGACCTACAGGTCTGAAGCCATTCATTATCACCCACATGCTCCTGACACCCAAACAGACTTTTGGGAGTCAAAAGCATGTAGATGGGAATGTAACATGTCAACAAGTATGTATTGAGCACCTACCCAGTGTGAGCATTTTTCTAGGTGCTAGGGCTTCACAAACTGTTTCCTCTGCCAGGGCACCCTTCCGCCTCCACCCCTTCACTTACTGTCACTCTCTCTGATCTTTTGGGTCTCATTTTAAAATTCCCTTCCTGGCCGGGCACAGTGGCTAGCTATAATCCCAGCACTTTGGGAGGCTGAGGCGGGTGGATCACGAGGTCAGAAGATCAAGAGTATCCTGGCCAACATGGTGAAACTCCATCTCTAC